CCTAAGAAAAATGATTTTGTGCATAAAAATGAATTTTCTCAAATAAGAAGAAATAATGCTAGAGCACCTAGAAGAGGCCAATTTCAAAATTTCCAAAAACCATCATTTTCACAAAATAGGAACAAAATGGTTAAACCTTCTAACTATTATGAACCTAGGCACATGTACAACCCCAATGTAGTTTGCCATTATTGTAATAGGATAGACCATATTGCTCCCATTTGTTACACTAGGCATAGGCACCTATCACAAAATCAAGCACACTACCATTACACACCTAACACCCGAGGACCCAACGTAAATTGGGTACCTAAAACTCATTGATGTGTTTCATAGGTATGCTTGAAGGCATCAAGTGTACTTTGGTACGTTGATAGCGGATGCTCCAAACACATGACCGGGGATGCATCCAAGTTTCTCCAAATCAAACCCGCTAAAGGAGGAAACGTAGTTTTTGGAGACAATAGCAAGGGAAAAATTATCGACGTTGGTTCAGTAGGTAAATCTGAAAACTCCTCTATAGATAATGTCTTGCTTGTTAAAGGTCTCAAACACAATCTCTTGAGCATAAGTCAATTATGTGACAAGGGAAACCGTGTGACTTTCGATTCAAAATCATGCACGGTAGAACGCCTTAGTGACAATAAGGTCATTCTACATGGTGATAGAATCGATAACATTTATATGGTTAACTTAGACAAATCTCCTTCCGACTTTGCTAAGTGCCTCATGAGTAAAGAGGAAGACACTTGGTTATGGCACCGAAGGGTAGCTCATATGAACATGAACCTTTTGAACAAATTGGTTTCACAAGACTTAGTAATTGACATTCCAAAACATAAGTTTGAAAAAGACGCCATATGTGATGCATGTCAAAAGGGGAAGCAAGTTCGGGCTTCGTTTAAGTCTAAGAACGTTGTTTCAACGTCTAGACCGCTTCAACTTTTGCACATGGATCTTTTTGGTCCTTCTAGAACGAAAAGTTTTGGTGGCAATTACTTTGCGTTTGTGATTGTCAATGACTACTCTAGGTTTACATGGACCTTGTTTCTTACTCATAAAAGTGAAGCATTTCATGTCTTCAAAAATTTTCTAAAGAAAGTTCAAAATGAAAAAGAAACAACCATAGTAGCCATAAGAAGCGACCATGGGGGAGAGTTCGAACGAAATCTGCTTTCAGATTTGTGTGACGAACTTGGCATTGATCATAACTTCTCAGCCCCACGTACACCACAACAAAATGGAGTGGTGGAACGTAAAAATAGATGTCTTGAAGAGATGGCTAGAACTATGATCAATGAGGCAAAAATCCCTAAGTATTTTTGGGCGGATGCCGTGAGTACCGCGAGCTACGTGTTAAACCGAGCCGTCATTCGACCAATACTCATGAAAACGCCCTATGAACTATACAAAGGGAGAAAGCCAAACCTTTCCCATCTTCGAGTCTTTGGTTGCAAATGTTTTATTCATAATAACGGCAAAGATAACTTGGGAAAATTTGATGCCAANCTATTTGTGATGATCTTGCAGATTCATTAGAGAGAGTACACATTGAAGACGATGAAGAAGACACGCCATTATACACCAACCCGCAACCACAACCTGAGGAAACACCTCAAGTGATGGTCGAAAATGAGGACCAAGCGGACGAAGAAGAACAAGAGGAAGCCCAGGAACAAGAGGAAACCGAGCTTCCCATCGCCTGGAGAACGCACAGAAACCATCCACTTGATCAGGTAATCGGCAGCATCAACCGCGGGGTAAGTACTCGTAACTCTCTTAGGGACACCGTAGGACACATGGCTTTTGTATCTCAAATTGAACCTACAACCATTTCCGAAGCAATAAACGATGAAGATTGGACCTTGGCTATGCAAAAGGAGCTAAACCAATTCAAATGAAATGACGTTTGGGAATTGGTGCCAAGGCCTGATGATCGCACGATTATTGGTACGAAATGGGTGTTCCGTAACAAACTTGATAAAAATGGAATAATCACTAGAAACAAAGCTACGCTCATAGCTAAAGGCTACAATCAAGAAGAAGGCAATGATTTTGAAGAAATGTATGCACCTGTAGCACGTTTAGAAGCTATTCGTTTACTTCTTGCTTTTTGTTTCGTCTATGGATTTTAAACTTTATCAAATGGATGTTAAGAGTGCCTTCCTCAATGGTTTTATTCCAGAGGAAGTGTATGTTGACCAGCCCCCGGGGTTTGAGGACTTTGAGTTTCCCGATCACGTCTTCAAACTCAAGAAAGCGCTCTACGGTCTTAAACAAGCACCACGTGCTTGGTACGAACGTTTGAGTAAATTTCTTTTGGATAGTGGTTTCCAAAGGGGAAAGGTTGGCACCACACTTTTCATCAAGAGTAAAAACAATAACATCCTTTTGGTTCAAGTTTATGTAGACGACATTATATTCGGTGCTACTAACGAGTCTTTGTGCAAGGAATTCTCAACGCTAATGACTAGCGAATTTGAAATGTCGATGATGGGCGAGCTCACATTCTTTTTGGGACTCCAAGTTAAGCAAATGAAAGATGGCACGTTCATTTGCCAAACTAAATACTGCAAGGAGCTCCTAAAACGGTTTGAAATGGACAACGCCAAAGCCATGGCGACCCCGATGAGCACGTCTGATCATCTTGACAAAGACGAGAAAGGTAAGGAAGTAGAGGTCAAAAAGTATCGAGGTATGATCGGATCCCTTCTTTATCTTACTGCTAGTAGGCCGGATATCATGTTTAGTGTATGCCTTTGCACAAGGTATCAATCATATCCGAAGGAATCGCACTTAACAGCGGTGAAACGGATCATGAAATACCTTGTTGGCACGGTTAACGTTGGACTGTGGTATCCAAAAGGCTCTTCGTGTCATCTCGCTGGTTATTCAGACTCGGACTTTGTCAGTTGCAAATTGGACCGTAAAAGCACGAGTGGGACTTGCCACTTGCTTGGTAGCTCTCTACTCTCATGGTTTAGCAAGAAACAAGTCAGTGTTGCATTATCCACAACCGAAGCGGAATATGTAGCCTCCGGTAGTTGTTGTGCTCAAACGCTTTGGATGAAGCAACAACTCGTGGACTATGGCCTTAGTATCAATCACGTTCCTCTTCGTTGTGATAATACTAGCGCCATAAGCTTGACGAAGAACCCCGTTCTTCATTCAAGGACGAAACACATTGACATTAGGCATCATTTCATTAGAGATCATGTTCTCAAAGGTGATGTCGAAATTGAGTTTGTTGAAACACACAACCAATTAGCCGACATTTTCACAAAACCTCTAGAGAAAGAGTTGTTCTTCCGCATTCGAATGAACTCGGAATCCTTGACTCCACGATGATCTAAGTTGTGCATCTAAACTTGTTAAATGTTTACTAACTTGAGCGTCGGAGAATTTTTTCTTTCTTTGCAGGTACCCCGTTCATAAAATCAGGGGGAACCATGCAAACAGCGCTGTACAAGAGACCCAACAGCGCTGTTGAGAGAAACACCGTCAACCAATTTGTGCCAACAGCGCTGTACAACACGCCAACAGCGCTGTCCCAGGAAGTCCCTTACTCTTCACTTTCCAGAAACTTTTTGAACATCGATGTTCCTTCTTAAAACATCGCTGTCCACCCAAAACACCTTGTTTTCAACCAAAACCAGAAACTTTTCAAACAGCGATGTCCCACTTTCAACATCGATGTCCACTTTTACAATTTTTTTTCTCTATCGTAAAACAGCGATGTAGAGAAACCCAACAGCGATGTTCAACCCCTTACACAATTCCAGAATGATTTGGAACATCGCTGTAGGGAACCCAACATCGCTGTCCATTTAACACTCGTTTTTAAAACTTGACGCATAACAGCGCTGTCCAGAGGCTCAACAGCGCTGTCCCAACAGCGATGTAGCCTTTAGAACATCGCTGTTCTGGATAAATTTTTTTAAAAAAATATCCGTTGGCACCAGCATTAATTGATCCAACAGCCATATTTTTGAGAATCTGGACGTTGGAGACCTCTTTCTCTATAATTTGGGACCCCCTCTCTTCACTTTTACACACACAAACACAATTCTCTTCAACATCTTTGCTTATTTCATCATCTCTACTCTTTTCTCTTGAGTTTTCTTTTCATGGGCAAGGACAAGAGTAGGGCTGCCACCTCCGGGAAATCAAAGTCCAAATCCCGGGCGCCTACAACATCCACCGAGGAACGCCTCTACTATGGCGACGGATCGTACCGCTGGTTCGATTCCGAGGAGGAGCACACCCGCTTTCTCACCTTCTTCTCTAAACGGGTCGTGGCTCCTCCACGGATCATCCCAGAGCGCTACCCAGAGCTTCAGGGCTACGACGACCTCGACGCGCAGCTTCATCAGGCCGGCCTTTGGCCTTTCGTCTCCCGGGCTCGGAAGGAGATCAACCCGGCGCTGATTCGGGTCTTCTACTCCAACCTCCGGCGTGAGGGCGACGTGCTCTACTCTCTTGTCAAGAGCACGCCGATAGAGCTTTCAATTGAGCAGCTTGGGCGCATCGCCGGCCTCCCCTACCAAGGCGACGACGTCTCCCACTATGGTGGAGAGGACTGGGTGCTCAACAACGAGGGCCTTATCCTCAACGAGCTTGGCATCACCAAGCTCATCCGCCTTGCCTCGGGCCGCCCCACCATCCACTCCGCTAACCCCGAAGGCCGTCTTCTTCTCTACATCGTGTCCCGAATCATCAAGCCCCGGAAGCATGGCCACACAATCATGTCCGGTGAGGACCTCAAACTCATCCATGCGATCATGCACTTGGCCCCAATCAATTGGGCAAAGTTTGTCATGATCAACATGACGATTGTCGCGTCCACCGACCACAATCACCTCCTCCCGTACCCGTTCGTGGTGATGGACATCCTTGAACGGTTCAAGGTGACCACCACCGTTGGCCCACTCACAAAGGCCACGAAGATTTGGGCGATCAGCACCCAAACCTTCAAGAAGCGGTCGGACAACGCCGGACCTGCCACTGCCGTGCCACGGCCCCGTTCTGCTGCTGGCCCAGCCAAACCCCAGGCCCGGGCCAACCTTGCCTCCATTGCTGACTCCCTCAACCGGCTGCACTTCAAAGTTGATGGGATGGATGGCTACCTTGAAAGACTTGACGAGGCGGTCCAACGCCAAGGGTACGCCATGAACGCGTACTTCCAACGCGTTAACTACGTCCCCCCACCGTACCATGGCATGTTCTTTGGGCAGGTGTACGGTGACGAGGACGAAGACGATGCCTCCTACGACCCGTCACGCTCCCCGGACGAGGACGAGTTCAACGACGCCGTTGACGGTGATGCGATGGACGTCGACGACGATGAGGAGGAAACCGAACACGAAGACTAGGATGCCCCTAGAATTTCTATCTCTTTTATTTTAATTATCCTTTTTTTTTAATGCTTCAGTTGTACTCCGCTATTTCCCTTTTTCAATAAATAAAAGTTATCCTCTATCTTTTTGTTAATGTCAAAAGGGGGAAGAAAAGGGTTATGCATATACTAAGGGGGAACGTCCAAAAAACGGGATCGTTTGATTTTAATATGACAATTTCTTTTTTAAGCACAGATTAAGGGGGAACTTTTTCACTCTTTTCTAAAAGGGGTAAATTGTTGGAACACGGGTTTACGCCTATGTCGTACTAAGCCATGTTCGTTTTATGACAGGTTTTGATAATGCCAAACCGCCGTGACAATAACAAGGTTAAACTGAGCAAAACCAAGGCGAAGGAACATGGCATGATGAACTGAGAACCAAGAACAAAGAATCAAGAACGAAGACTTAGAATTATATTGAGTCGGTTTTAATGTGATCAAGACCGGCACAAACCTTCAAAACATGGCTCTCTAGGCTCATTTCATCAAAATATTTTTTGCATATTCAAAATGATTTTCTTATGTCTTAAACCTGCCTGAAAACACTTGGAGTTCGCCCAAACCAAAAACCAAGCCATGCGACGTTCGGTCTTCGGAAACCGGCGTTCGGCTTTCGGTTATCAGCGTTGGTTTTTGGCGTTCGAACCAACCAAGTGGTTTTCAACATTTAATGATTAGTTTTTACTTCTGAGCATATTTAAATAGTTCTCCAACAAAAACGCTTCAAAAACCACCTTTCGTTTTGGTCGCTTAGTGAAAACCATGCGAAACGGCGTAAACTTGGCTAGCCGTGGTTTTCAACTAAATGACGTGGTTTTCAAAATGTTTTACTTGATTTATTAGCAAAATGCATTAAACAAACATTTTCAATACTTGGCTTTTATTTTGGAGAACTCACATTTTTGACATCGGCTAACGGCGTGACTAAACCAACCATGGGTCTGGCTAAACCAGCCCAACTGCGATGTTGAGGTAACCAACAGCGCTGTCTGGCTTGGGTAGCTAAAAACATGGTTTGGCGTTAAGTCCTCCAACAGCGATGTTGGACATTAGACATCGCTGTTGAGCCAAGGTTGGATTTCCAGAAACTTCTGCAACAGCGATGTAGACTTCCCTACAGCGCTGTCCAACCTAAGCCAAAGATATTGTGCATTGGCAGAAAGTTTTTGGACAGCGATGTTGACCCAGAAACAGCGCTGTCATGCCAAACTTCCATCTTCAAAGGCAGACCTAAACAGCGATGTTCTAGTATGGAACATCGATGTAGAGACCTGACCGTTGGAAGGAATTTAAGGCTAAAACTTTCCTTGTTTGGAAGTCAACAGCCAAAACAGCGATGTAGGGATTTTAGACATCGCTGTTGGCATGACCGTTGCTTCCCATTTTTCAAAACGCAAGCCTAGAACAGCGATGTCCAAGCCTAGGACAGCGCTGTCTGGGTGAATTTCAACAGATCCAA